ATGATTGTTCAACGATGATCCGTAGAGTCGCGATTTGGTCTGTGCACGACCGATCCTTACAGAGTGAGACCTATTGATCACGAAGTTGGGTGTCTACTGAATCTTTCATCTGGTTCAGAAGGAAAAGATCTATAGATACTAATCATATAGCTTGAAAGCATATATACACATAAAACACTGATCAAAGTGGATCAGTACAACTTCTATTATTAATCACACTAACTCTGGATATATTATGTAAGCAGTCAGTTATTACGCATTCCAGAAGAATATATGTATGCATAAGCCTACTACGGCTTTCAATAAATCATGTTGATTATTCTGTTAAAACATAACACTTGTGTGGGCAATCTTATTAAGTTAGTTTTGATCTAAAAGGTTACTGATATTAACATATTAGAGGGAATATCATCACGGATATTGCAATATCTGAATAAATAATTTGTAAATTGTTTATTAAACTTAACATCAGGGATCATTAGACAATTTTATAATAGTATTTTTTTAGGAATTTTATTCAACAAATGAGAGTTGATGTTTACATCCTTAAAAATCTTTTACCTACTCACTGTTCTATAATCTTTCTGCAAAATTCCGGTCATTACTACAGTAAATATAGAATTACGTTAAATACAACACTATATGTCAAATATATAAGCATTTACTTTGAAAACTGGGCAGGATTACTAAATAAGAAATCAGTAAATGTTTAGAATACTTATTTGAGAATTCGCTTGTAAATAAACAAAACTATGAAAGTAAAGTTAGTTAGCTGACCCATGTGGAATTCAAATATGACTATACATAAAAGTAGTAATCCAGTACATGGGTACATGATGATTTCCATCCGTGATAAAATGTGAAAATTAGTTGGAACCTATATTTCAGATCAATAACAAAAGGATTAAACTAAAAAATACCACAACTTACAAAGATTTTAAAAAATAAAATTTATTATACAAGACAGGTGACTAAATTTACTGCTGAAGTTGTGAACTTGATGAGCGATATTATGATTATGTTTAGACTTGAATCAAGGAACACTATTAAGAGCAAAATATAATAAGATCATATTATTAACCAAAAACAAATGAATTGATGTGAAATACAGATTCAGATAATAAATGACTAGTTATGGATTTAAAGTAAAGTTAAGTGAAAACACCATCATTTTTACTGAGAAATAACATTAGTTTTATGAAATGTAAAAATTTTTACAGTTAAACATTCACTTAGAGCTAATCTACTTAAATAATGAATGAAAAATGAGATTTTTTAAATAGCTGTAAATCTTTCTGAAGAAGCTTGGAATAAGCTCCCGAACAAAAAGTTGGTTAATTTCTAGTTAAATTGCTGAAAATTTTACCAGTACAATCATAAAATGTAGGACTGCATCCCCTTACGTTGCTCCACTGCCTTGTGGATCAGACCTTTAGGTCAAAGGCTCCGGGTGTGGTCCCCTAAGAAAACCACCCGCTTCGGTTTGGGCACCCAGGCAGTAGCGCAACCCTCACACAAATCAAATGAGATTTATGTGGCGCATATGTATCTGGTGCCCCTTTGTACCAGTATTTATGTGTTAAGATAAATAAATAAATAATCTTTATAAAGATCATTCGTTCAAGAATGTTCATCTATATTATTATCATCAATAAATTAAATGTTCTACATTACAACAAAACTGAAGATTCAAAAACGTTTCAGTTAACCTGATAGACAGATTTATATTTTGAAACTGTTCATTCTCAGAGTCGACAAACTTGATTAGACATATTATCAGCTAAATTTCATGTTGACTCAATCTTTAAATAATGAGAAATATCGTTTAAAAAAAAGACGTATATAATTTACCATTATCCTACAGTTCGTACCTAGAACAATATAGAAAATAGTGAAATTTCCCACGCATAATGAAAGGATTAAGTAAAACGATATCGGACACAATTATGAGTAAAGCTCGTGGAGGAGTATGAGGAATAATTGAAGAGATGGAGAGATTTTCAAGTGTAAAATCAATAAAACAAAAGTATAATAACGAAAATAATTAAAGGGTATAGAAAAAAAACATAGATATGATGCACTTCTTATACATACGAAATTCAGGTTTCATCTCGTGGATAGGTTGAGCTTAAATTCAACAAATAAGTGAGCAAACAGAGTCGTTTTAATGTTCAAGAAAAAAAATACTAAACACCTTCCTTTCCCCTCTTGTAAAACCACTACAGAATATAATGTCTTAATCGCCTTCATAAACAATGACGGCTACAGTGGAGATAATTCTTAAATAGACTATATATGATCGATGTTAAACTGTTCAGCAGCAGGATCATATACCACATTGTTTTCCAACATATCTGTTTATATTCTAATAATTTTTATGTTAGCCAATAACATTTTATATTGAATAACTCATAAATACATTGTGAGTTATTTTAGTTTAGCCTGAGGTAAATATGTTTAGTTACGGAAAAAACTAGTATCTAAGTTTTTTCCTGACATGAGCCAATTATATATTCCCTATAACGAACATTGGAAATTTGTTCATGTTCATAAAAAAAGCATATAATCCCCAGTCTGTTAACATATGATTATGGTCAGAACAGTTAGAATGGTCTGTATTAGTTACCACTCAGGACTATAACTGATGCATCGAAATGTTTTTTTTTTCAAACTAAAAAGTTTCTGATAAAGAATTCTTAATTTATTTTTTTACATCCTCTTTAGAATCAATATTCCGAATAACAGATAGTCTATAATGCAGTGGAATTATATGAAATATAAATTAATCTTAAGACTATCAGTTAGACGTTTTTATCCTTGACATATTTGTTTTTCGTATTTCTTGTGAGTTTAAGTTATTGCCTTACACTAACTTCATATAAAAGCTTAGAACTGAAATTACATCGAAATAATCAAAGAGTACATATAGGAATTAGAGTTAACATGTATTCACTTGCTACTTAGACAACAAAATACAATGTAAGTGAATTTCAAATATGTATTGTTCATCATTAAACAAGATTATGTCAAAAACGCAAAAAAATTATATTTAAACGAATAAAATAGGGGAACATTCTTCGTGGCAGAGTTCAAGGATAATATATCAATAAAGCAAGTGAGGAATAAATTATGCGCAAGAATTTATGGAAAGAAAGAATGTTTTATAATCTTAAAGGTGTTATGATTTGATGTCCGGCTTACGATCACGTGACTTATACACCAATCAGAATACGGCTTATACGAATATTCGCACTATGACAAGACCAATGACGTTCAACCGGTCTGAGCAGTCTAGCGTCCTATTGGGTCCTACGTCCTTCTAACCCGTTCTCTTGAGTCCAGAACACAAAAGCAGCTTCCGAATCAACCAAATCGAACCAAATCATTTATTTCAGACATACTCGGTTTATATATCAATCAGGCAGACCACAACGTACCAAAAAATAGAAAATAACATATGTACACAAATAAGCCAAAAAGTGGCTGTGAATGTGGGAGACAGTAATTAATAAACTGAGCATAATTTAGGGACAGTAAATCGTACAATGATAAATTATAGGTCAAAGTGAAGCTTATGATAAGGGGAATATAAATATACATAATCTAACTATTAAATAATTACACCGTAAGAATATATAGATAATATTAGTCAATTAATGTCTCAGAAGTTACTCGTGATTTAATCTTCGCTCGGATATAACAAAAGGTGGTGTTGATTTCACATCATCTCGCACAAAATGGAAAAAATTAATTCAAATCAATGCACAAGGTGACCTTTAAAAAGAATTCCATATCTATTTACGCAATAAAACATGTTGTAACACTTCTGAAAACATTCCTAGTTTACAAAATTCAGTAGTTTTATATCAGTTGTTCAGTTTCAAAACGATTGAGATGTTTTCGAAGTTGAAGTAATCCGCTAGTCATTTATTTAAATCAAGTCACAATTTATATTCTTTGATGGAATAGATAAATCTTAGCCAGAAGTAGAATTTAGTTTCTCCCTATTCAAGACTCATCAGATGGATGTATATGAATTTGAGTGTCAATGTTCATATTGCGACCAGATCCAAGTAGTTTCCACTTCAAACTCCAACGCGCTTTCTACTCAGTTATTGAGTATATTTAACCACTAACTTGTTCACCTGGTATAATATTTAGATCATTATTAATATTGGTTCGAATCACCCTAATTTTGATGTTCACGACTAAATTTCGATTAGTCTTTGTTAGCATATATACATCCAGTATTGATTACCTCAATATAGCCACTCTATCACAAATTTCATAGAATAGATAGCTTATTGTTAAGAGTGAAGTTCAGGAAGAGTGTTTTGTTCTGTCAGATGTAATTGGATTCTAGTGTTGATGTTAAAATAAAATAGTATGAGAAAAAGTGATATCAAAACGTAATATTATTCTTTCTTCTTTTTGTGATAGGTTAAAAAATTTATTCTATATTTATCTGTTTGTGTATTCAACAAAGGCACTGTTGATATAGAGAGAACATTAAATGCATATTTATCACAATTAACTTCTCATTATCTTAACTAGTGAAAACAATGACATATTTATATCGCATTCCTAATGATAAGTAAATTTTTTATAAATGATAAGAAAGTTATGAACTTCACTATTGAATGTCTTAGAGAATGTTTAATTGAAAGAACAATAAGCGTGATTTGTTACTGTCAAGAAAAAAATACATAATAATACCAAAGTATAATACAAATTAGTTTATACGAGTAAAACTATATATCACTCCGTAAAAAATGTGTCAATTTTAAAAGATTACTAAAAATATAAAACAATACAGTACTGACACCCAGAAAATCGGATTTGAAATCTTCGATTAATTATTTTTTATTACATTATCAAAGTTAATATGCATAAAGCTATACAAAACTATATCAACAGTGAAATTAGACTAAGAAGGAATGCAAATTTAAGAGCGAACCTCCAAGATATAAGACAACATGGATATAATATAAAACACTAACCTCTAGATCCCAGTTATATTTTTGAAGATACATCATTCCAAGTGCTCGGTCAGTGGAAGTGATTTCAGCAAATGAAATACATTTCTCTAGAAAAACATCTTTACCATTTGAGTTTTCTTCTACATCCATTGGTATAATATTACTGGACTGTTGATTTTTTGCCATTGCTGACGACCTACATTATAATAATAATGTATGTAAATAAATAATTTAAAAACCAATTTCCATTTCGTTAGTGTGATAAAAACAAGCTATATTCTTCTTGGGATAAGCAAAGAGCTGAGAAAGAACTGTTTTCTTCCATTTAGGGAAGTCGGGTGAGTACAAAACAACTTATCGGTGTGATACTATGAAACTAAATGAAGATTATGGGTATCGATGCAAAGGTTGGACTTGATAGTTTCAAATAAATTGAGCAATAATGAATTGGGATATAACAAGAAATATGTTTATTATAAGTGATGAAACATGAAATTGAATTTATTAGCGAAAATAATAATCTCGGAACCGAATGACGATTATAAACAGAAACGACCATCCATGCATCCATAAGTACCTTTTTAGCTAAATATTTTCAAGCGGTAATCGCTATTGGACAATAATTGATAACGAAGCCTAAAGTTCCTATTCCGACACTCGGTTCAAAAAAAAAGCAAACGTATGCAAGATAAGCTCATAATTCATAATACGTTTCAGCTCACATGGATGTGTAGATATGGACGATTAGTTGGATTGTGAATTTTATTTCTTATTCTATTTTGAACGTTTACCCGATAGTTAGCTAAACCATACGGTTATAGCTGAATATTTTGCATATACACGCTTCTTTTTTTCCTTAAAATTATACACATAGGAAAACAGCTGGATAGTGACTAGAACTTCTTAAATCTGTTTTCGTTTGGATCTTCTAGGTGGAAAAATCATCAGTGCAGTCACACCATTAATTCTAATTTTATCGATGAACTGAATACATAACACCAGGCTTCAAACAGAAAAGTGGAACTTGCTCATGTTACAAATTAATATTCATATAAGATAAATGACGATATTATCAATCTGGTATGATCAGCATACAAACTAGAAATAACAGTTGTGTATAGTGTATGTCTTGAAACTTGTGCAAATTGAATAAACAAATAATCATATTATTAGTATAGTCTCACATATTTAAAAGTTTAGTTTAGTTTAATAAATGAACTTTGTCCACGCTTGAATCGATGTGATTTTCAGTAAGATTTGAGATAACAGAGCACAAAATCAGTTTATTAATCGTTTGCTTAGAAAAACGAGTGCAAAACTGTTGTTCAGATGGATAAATGAAGTTATGAGTCGATTTGGTGACTGCTATTTTGAATTCAATTTGTCCTAGAATATCTCACGAAAACAATACTTACTGGGCGAAAAGATTAAGGAATATGATTATTTTATAATATTTAACTTATAGACATAAATTCACGAAACTCATTTTGTCAGTAGGTGTATTTTAATGATAAAATAGAATTCCAAACAAAAACATATTTACGGAAATTACTGATTACGATACATAAGAATTAATAATTATTTAAAGTTTACAATTTATGCCAAAAATTAAATTTTAACAAAATAGATGCACGATAAATGGCTTTACAAGGAAGGAACAGAAGTGATATTTTTAATTGATAGCCTAAGTATCATAAACCAATTATCAATCTTGTTCTTCACGAGCAAACGAAGATAAAATGTACTGTAATAGGAACGAAAATAAGTTACATACTACGACGGATTTTATTTGCTGTATATGAAGTATATTGTGGAGCAGCATTTATTCAAGAATAAACAAGATTATATCGCTGATGTAAATGAAGGCGAACGAAAATCTTAAGTTGTGATTAGATTTATCAACTAAACACTAAAATTAAAGTTTAGCCTGGTGTAAGGCACAAAATAACAGAAAGTAGAAAATCCTTTAATTACCCACTTCAAACACAAATATAATAAAATACTTTCACAGGAAGTGAGAAAATAAAAAATCCCTTAGTTTAGGATTAGGCTCAACGTGAACTAGGACAGAGCAATAATGTATGCTGAAAAGCGATTAATTACGTACTTCTAAGATAAACAGTAGTCAAGAGAAATGTGCAATGATAGCAGAGAAACTGAACAAAGCTTAGTAATCGAGTCGCGTCAATTTAACAATAAAGCATGAGTGGTAGCCTGATAGTCAAAGTTTTATATGTATTCACAGCTAACGTTTTTATGCAGCCCCAGCAATAAATATCAAGTAAATTAATCTTCAGTTTTCCAATACAATCTTCCCTGAAGATAATGCCTAGACTTATGTAAACTGGTTATAAGACAAATCTAGAACACGAACACGTTAAACTGAAAAATTTATTATTCACATTATCTTCAAACCATAAAATGATTTCATTTAGTGATTGTTCGACTGTTTGTAATTACAAAAACAGGTAGGACAAGAACAAACATTCGTGTGTATCAAGTATTTACAACCCCAATTCTTTACAGCAGGTTCGATGGCACCAAGGCTTACAGAATATAAGAAGAATTCGAGTCCGATGTACAAAACAATCGTTTTACATGCACATATTTCTACTGATAATGACTAGCAAAGAAAATAAATTCATCTAGGAGTATATATAGCTATTTACTAAATCCTTAACAAACAAAATGTACACTAATTTATTACAACCAATCAAAAGCACACACTATAAGTGTAATACCTTATATAAAATAATTCGATGGAATAAATTTCTGACGACAGTTGGAGTATGACTACAGGTTCATTTTCCAAACTACACAAATGTACAAGCCAGTGTTTAATAAGAATCATGACATATCAGAGTAGCAACTAAGGCATACCTACATTTTTTGAAGATCGATTAATTACAATATCTTTAAATAAACAGATCATTTCCAGAACATATTTGACACAACATTTAATTGCTACATCATCTATTCAAAAACTATTTCGGTATTACATGATTAATATACCGGATTTACCATGAATATGAATTCATATTATATGGAAATGAAAAAGTTTTGGTTGTAAAACTAGGATATCTTCCTATCCCAGAGGAGACCGATGGACTGGCATGCGAACTTCAAATGTCAGAAGACAGCTGAGAAGACCTGAAATAATAACTTGTCGAAGAGAATCAGAAAAAAATGTCGAAGCAACTTGAGAGGAATGTGAGATGGTTAGAACAGTTCTTGTCCCTTAAACACCACAGTGAAGACATCTAGTTATTGTCTTTCGTTGTGGCGAAGACTCACACGATAGTAGTTTTGATAATCTAAACCAGGGTTGATCATAACAAATCCAAACAGTCAGTCAGTCAGAAACAACGTGGAACTTCGTACGTACATACATCAGTTCGAGTCGCCATACCACATTAGCACAGAGGTTCAGTTATCGATTCAAATCCCGTAGCGGTAGAGGTACTGAAAGTATAAGTAGTAATAGGGAACATTAGGGTTTGATGATGTTATTCAAGGAGTATAGTCCAGTGGAATAAATCTGGAAATATAAAAGACATGAAGAATTCAGAAGATTAGAGTTTGGGAGAACACAGAGAGTGGATGCACCTGCGCCATTGCAAACGATTTTGAGCCATGTCACTCAAGGTCTCTAACCATCGGTTGCTATCATCTCGCGGTCCCCAACCAGGTAGTCTATATCTACCAACATGGCTCAGTACACTTGTCAGTGACTTCATGGATTTGTGCCATGTTTTGGTCTGACCACTCCTAGCTTTCTTCCAACCTACTCCAACACCATAAAACATAGCACGTCGGGGCAGCCAGTGGTCGGGCATACACAACACGTGTCCCAGACATCTCAACTGATTAAGTTTCACTACTTCATCAATTGATTTGCCATCCTTACCTAGTACCCGTTTCCTAACAACTGCATTACTTACTCGGTGGTCCCAGGATATACGAGCCATGTTTCGAAGGCATCTATGGTCGAATACTAGTAACCTACGAATATCCTCTACTCTTATCGGCCATGTTTCAGTGCCACAAAATAGGACGGAACGAACTGCTGCACAGTAAACACGTCCTTTGGTTGATAGACGGATATCTCGCCTACGCCACAAATGACACTAGTTGGCAAAAGCTAGTCGAGCCTTCTGTATCCGTGCTGAGATTTCGTCACACACCAGACCACAAGGGCTGATGAGACTTCCGAGATAAGTGAAGCGGTCGACACGCTCAACTACTTCATTCCCTATCATTAGTTCAGGTGTCGACGCATTTCGAGGGATAGAATCGCATGCCGAACATGCCTGCATTGTTGCTTATAGTGGTCAGCAGACTCTGCATTTTGTCAGCGTCTTCACCAAATAGAACTATGTCATCGGAATATTCTAAGTCAAAAAGTGAATCTCCCGGTAGAAGTTCAACCTCTGGAAAGTGTCATCTCTAAAAGGACGTCAACAACAAAGTTAAACAAGAATGGAGAGAGTGGACATCCCTGACGAACACCACTTGAGGTAATCAATTCTGATGACAGTTCGCCATAAGCTCTCACTCTACCAGTTGTGTTCGAGTAGAGAGTCTTTATAAGGTTAATGTGACTTTTTTGGGTACAGCGTTGAGACGAATTAAGGGGTCGCCATGTTAAAAGATGTTTTTCCTTATGCTTATAGTTAGTGTTTGCAAGAAACAGGCGGTTATCTGAGCATAGCTGCAACAGACGGTCGCCATTATCTGTTCTTTGAGCCGCGACACCATAAGATCCACCCAGTTGTCTTTCCCTTTCTCTTAGTTTACCTACTTGAGCAATAAAGTCACTGGCCACTATTACTACATCGGAGCGCCTAGCTTTTCGATGAAGGTCGGAAAGCTTTCTGTAAAACTCATCTTTTACATCATCTGAGCTGCAATCAGTGGGAGAGTAGTCAGAGACGACGAAGAGGCAACGACGAGTGTCCCCATCTTTTCGAGTCCTTACTGTTCCGTTTAGTTGGACAGCACATAAACGACCGTCTACTGGGATCCAGTCTAAGAGAGCTAGTTCTGACCTAGGACTCAATGCTATACCTACGCCAGCGAGGCCACGGGAAGCAGCATCAGGGCTTCTAGATACACGAAGTGTAAATCCAGTTGGTTCATTACTTTGACATGGTGCGGTCAAATCAAATGACACTACTAGGATCCTGTGTGCGCGTTTCGGAGACGCAGCACACATCGATGGAGCGAGATTCTAAAGTCCTAGCTAAGGAAGCCTGTTGTCCTATTTGGCACAGTGTTCGGACGTTGAGAGCTCCTACGCGTAATTTGGAGCGTGGTTTCAGGAGACCAGGAATAACGTTCCGTGTACTCGAATCGTTTGCACTAGAGGGGCCAGGTGATAAAGGGACGTGAGAAGGGTTGGTCGTGGAGATAAGAGAGTTATTAAGAGGTGTAGGAAGGATTTGAATGTGACCAACTTGACCTCGTGTGCTGTTACGGGTATGAGGACTGGTGTCACTTCCCGGCTGCCCACACCGTGGAAGGGTATTTCTTGAGGAACCTGAAAGGGAAATCGGATTAGTGTTGGTCTTAGCCACCTGGATGCGTGACCGCAGAGCCCAAGGGACAACTGCTTGAGGTCGATTGCGCATGGCCTTTATGTGGGAGGCTTTTAATATGTTAGCTCCGTTGTTCAGATGGCCTTACCGCCGGAGACGGAAATCCGTGAGGTAAGGTGAGGAGTGACATTTTTAGGGTCGACCTTTTCTAACCCCTCCCTACCTTGTGAGAAGGCAGCATCGCTGCAGATGCTGGTTGTCCGAGGGAAACACCTTACTGCTGTCACACCTCTGTACAGTCAGCAGTACGACTTCGCCCTCAGACTTTCAGTTGCTGCTTTTAGTCTTACCGTTCTCCAATCGACCTGCCTGGCATGGTAGAACCTGCAGGAACATGTGTTCCAGCCAATATAGCTCGGTTGGGTCATCATGACAGGCAAGCCCGACCACCACGTCAAGGTAGCAGCTACGGTCGGGATAACAAATCTAGAGCTTGATACAAAACAGTTCTGTTCCGAAATACTATCTCCACCTAATTCAGTTTCTATGTGTCTCATAAAATATTACTTTATTTTTATAGTGTGAAGTTGCACGCAATTTTCTTTCCTTGAATTTCAATAACGTTCTAAAATAGGTTACTTGACTTTGTTCGAGTGGTTGCGTGAGTATTGGGTTGGGGGTGCAAGTGTCTACGATGTAACCGATAAGACAAAGATAAAATATCTATTGTTCCTCGACAAATGTTAAGAATGAAAATGGGCTTAGTTTCTAGAAAATAGATGAATGCAGTTGCAATGTTATGAATGTCTTCACGTCACGTAATCAATTGGCTACATTTATCACATGTATTTGCAAGCTTTACTGCTGGAAATGAATATGTTTGTTGCGTAAATATTCTAAAAAATAAAATCGAAGTGTTTTCCCTTAGCTTGAGATTTCTTATCTACACTTTCAAATCATTAAAACTTAACATACGTGCAAGCATGCAACATTTTGAAGTTTGACAAGTATTAATTAGTTAGCGAATTTGTACTTCAAGGACTACAGTGAGAAGAATGCCATTGAATTATACCCGAATTACAAATAGATCACAGTCACATATCCACAGAAACATGCATACCAAGCACAGATTAAATGGGGCAAATTTCAATTGGGAAATCACTTCCATAGGGGGTACAAAGAAATTACCAAGTGCATCATATCACATAATAAATAAGAAAAGTTCAAAGCATTGGTAGATAAAAATCAAACGACTTGTGTATAGTTTATTATTGTTAACAAAAAACAGTTCACCAGTAAACACAAAACAGTCATAAGGCAGGAATTTTGCATAAAAACACGAATATATATATATATATATATATATATATATATATATATATATATATAATTTACACATATAAGACAAGAATGTTTTTGGACGATTAAAAAAAAGTTAATTTCGAAATTAATAACATTCATAAATAATTACAAACGTCAAATAAAAAGCTCGCTGAGAAAACGATATATAAAACATGAACATAAAAGGAAGGTGAACACCAGCCATTGATTTGCACATATAGAAGTTAACTTATGTAGAAATAAACAGGATGTAATTAAATACAAGCGAAGATATCCAATAAAAATGAACAAATTTCAGTAATTTTCGACAAGAATAGAAACTATGTGTTTATTTTCTTCTGTGGTAGTTTTTTTTTAAAGGACACATAATGCGTTGTATTGTTTGAATCAACTATCGAAAAAGTCCTGGTTTTAATTCCTGAAATTTTACCCAATTGTATTTACCAATATGAGTAAGTAATAAGAAGGAATGGGAAAATATTTACTTATACGGTAGAATTAAAATTGTATTACAAAATATTACATTTATAAAATGTTTTTTTTTTAAAAATGTTAGCAACATAAGCCAACAAGGAGTGTGTAATACAGTACATGGTATTGAAATAATTTGCAGAAAAACATATTTTATTACAAATTTACACAATGGAGTTCAAATTATAATTTTGAAATACTAAAATATAAATATATAAATCTGTATTTTAACAGAGAGAGAATATTTTTACAGACTTATATGTATAGATAATTAAAACGAAATAAGACGAAGAATACACAAAAAAAAGATCGTTCACCATCTTTTATTTTCCATGGAACTAGAAATTGCATCAATGAAAAAAAAAGTAGCAAAATACGGGAAAACGATATTCATGTTGAATAATTTACATACCGCGTTCAGAATATCGCCCACGAAAGTTAATACTTTGATCGTCTCTGTGCGGAATGTTGCATAGGTGGATATTATCTCTTAATTTTTCAGAATAATGATTAGTTTCAATTGGTGGAATTTCTGTAACATCAATGCACTCAAAATGATTGGGTAATATCTCAGTTTTTTTATTCAAGATATTTGTAAAATCTGGACAGCTTGTAGCATTCAAAGAATTATCTACAGGGACAGAATGTGTTGATTTTAAATCATTAAGATCACTTTCTGATGTAGAAGTTGAGTCGATTAAATGACGACGATGACGACCAAAAACTTTGTTGATTTCCGCATCAAAATGAGCATAACAATTAGCTACATCCGGCAGGTGATATAAAAGGCCTTCATATAAGTACTCTATTTTTTAAAAAAAAGGAAATACAGGATAAAATATACTATGAAATGGTTTATACACGAAAGTTGACAAGGAAAATAAATATCATAGAATAGTATACAGGAATATTCAAACAAACAACATTCTTTAAGTTGCATACGAATATGTAGATTGGAAACGTCATTGAAAAACGTACATAATTAAACCAGTCGCCTTCGATAGTCAGGTAGTAATTTCAACTGAATTAGTAACACCTGAAAAAAGGAAACACTTACATCGTTGTACTGTCTTTTTTGAGGAGAAATACAATGATCTAGCAGCTTTGATATATGAATGACTGGTCGGCACGATCTATCTTATAGGATAATATAAACAATAAATTATACAAAAGATTCTACGAAATAAGAAGTCGAAAGTTCGGTCTACAAGGTATTTCCACATAGATATATAATGTATTTGGAATTAGCAAAACTATCGAATGAAATTCTAATATGGGATTGAAAGGGACTGTACATTATTTGATTGAACACAAGAATATTATAGATGTAAGATTCTCTCCGTCTTCATGACGAAATAATTAACAACAATATTTTCAAACTAGGAACTGTACCAACACGTAATAATGTAAAAAAAAAAGCACCATCTAGATAAGTAGATAATCATTTAATAATCACTAAAAAATGTTTAGAGATGACTATACAGATTTAACCAGAAGTAGAGGGAGTAAAGTGTATATTTTATTAAGAGTGGAAATTTATATGACCTTGTTATATTTGTCAACAGACGTATGTATACTGAAGTTACTAATGGTTTACTTCACATCCTGACGGTACACATTACCATACATTGAATTAACCTTTTTTGCAATTACAACAGATCAGCAACTTATGAAGCAGAAGTTAAATAAAGTAGTGCTGGATAAACATTTTGATGAAATCTACGAAAATTACATGATAGAATGAATTTGGTTTAGAAGTATACGCTTTAGTAATCTCTAGATAATGAATCCCCATTTATTCAATTTCGATTCAAATCTAAACCAACTAAATAGATTTCGTGATTTCAAAATTAATCACAGTCACTTGTTGATAATTATAGATCATAAGATATAAACTAGCAATTAGATACGAAGCAACCATTAATTTCTAAAAAAATTCAACAATAATGATTAGTGAACGATTTATAAAATCCACATGAAAAATAATATAATAAATAACAAAACGCTGCAGGTGAAAGAACCCACTTTTATATTATAGAAGTAGTTTGAAATTTTAATATTGGCTGAAACATAAGTGCATCAAAGTAACACAAAGCAATTAGAAATGCATAATGAAAATTTCTTACCCCCACTAATTCCACTGGATGAATTATCTGAATGAGTAGATTTATGTATCAGGTAAGCACGATCAAGTATAAGGTTAACTGTTTCGTCATTTTTTAAAGTGAACGCAAAACCCAATAACTCTGCCGCATCAGAACGACTAATTTCCCAAACTTTCGCTGCATTTACATCAGTTTGTGAAGTACACAGATTATATGCCTGGAACATTATAAGATAACGATGATAGATAGGTTTCCTGGTTTTAGAAAATTTTATGATAAGAAGTTTAGTGATTTTTACAAAAGATTTGAAACGTCTTATTTAGTCGCAGATAAAAAATAAACAAGTGTGAAGTAACTAAGAAAAACATTAAATTCAAAGAATAATGAATACACCTATATTAAATATGTAAATAATAATAGCACTATTCATTATTCCTGTGATATAGTCCAATGAATTCAGTTATCTTATCACGTATGTTGTCATTAATTTATTCAATAAACCACATTGATTAAATTAAGTGTGCAATTAAAAACCTGAAAAATTTTACATGTTCCTTCGATTTTGTTGATTATACAGACGGTAAGTATTCATCTAACTTACTGAAATTATTACTACATGAATATATAAACATTAGTACAAGTAAGCACCCAATACATAAGGACTACATAAATAACAATGAGATTGTGAAGAGATGGAGAATGCAAAATGTGTATAAAAAAGAAGAACTACAACGAAAAGAAATTAGCGTATGAGAGCGAATAATATTTAATTGATTATAACGGAGCAACAGTTCATTTAGCAAAAATATAAACAGAAAGAATATCTCCACTTAGAGTAGCTACGTTTACTTTTATGAAGAAAGCAAAAGAACGTTACAGCACGATCGCCACTGGCTTCTATTTTGAGCCATATCTGTTAACGTCTATAGCCACAGTGTTGCACCATCTCCAGGAGCCCAACCACTGAGTCGTGAAAAACCAACACAAGCCAGCCCTTTGCAGCTTTCTTTCATACCACGACGCCATGTCATACACTGACCACCTCTCCGCTTTTTCCAACCAGTCCCAGAGTCAGCAAATAATGCACGACGTGGAATCCTCTGGGACGACATTCGTAGAACATCTCCAAGTCACCAAAGTCGATGTTTCAAGATACCGACACCAATTGAATTATCTTCTCTGCTCCCGAACACACTATGACGAACGTCTGCATTACTAACATGGTGTTGCCAATGGATGTCAGCAATACTTCGGAGACAGCGATGATCGAACACAGAGAGACGTCTAAAATCCTCCACTCGGATAGGCCAGGTTTCGCAAGCACAGAGCAAAACTGCTCTCACCGACGCGTTGTAGATCCGACCTTTTACACCCAGACTAACATCACGAAGGCGCCAAAGATGGCCCATATTGGCTTTCATCATATGTGAATTGGTCTCATCAATCACACCATCACCAGCATTTATGCAGCTACCCAGATAAGCGAACTTCTCAACTACTTCTATCTGCTCATTACCCGGGGTGAGTACAGGATCAGGATCCTGCAAATCTAGAAGGTGCAAAGTACATACCATACTTACGGATAATAACTGCCAACAAATTAAGTGCAGATTGCATGGCTTGGGCATTATCGCACAGTAAAATAATATCATCCGCATACTCAAGGTCGAGAAGTCTTTCTCCAGGCAACTGATCCACACCATCATTACCCACATTCATCAGAGCTGTTTCCAGAACATCATTGACGACAAAATTGGAGTGAAATGGTGAGATTGGGAAACCCTGTCTAACCCCACTGCTTGGGTGGAACAGTGGAGAGGTGATTGTACGCCCTGACTCTGCCTGAGGTGTCTGTACATAGAGCTTTCAAAATGTCAATAAACTTCTCAGGAACACCCTACTTCAATAGACAATCCCAGAGAACAGTTCTGTCCAACGAATCGAAGGCAACCCTGATATTAAGAAACACTACGATTGTTGGTCTGTGATAAGTATGATGGTGTTTTAACATTTGGCGGAGGATGAAAATATGATCAATACATCCTCGATCAGAACAAAAACCAGACTGCCTATCGTGATTCAATCTTTCTCGGTTTTCGAACAACCTACGAAGTATGACAGAAGCCAATAGTTTTGACGAAATCGAAAGTAGACCAATCCCCTGATAGTTGTTACAGAAAAGGCGTGAACCCTTTTTTTAAAGATAGGGACAACTATCGACTCATTCCATGATGTTGGAACACTCTTTAATTGCTAGACCTTTGTAAGCAACACAGTCAGTTCCTTAATCAGAAAGTCACTACCATCTTTAAAAGGAGCCGGAGATAGATCATCCGGGCCCCGGGATTTGTAGCGTTTCAAGAGTTGGAGTTCCTTGAGGACTTCCGCATCATTTGGTGCATCAGTCATAACACACCATGGAGGGCAGCACAGTCTGATCAATGTTGTCGGAGCAGCAGACCAGTTGACCTGCCCTTCGAAGAATTCTGCGCATCGTCCAAGTCGTCGATGGATGTTAGTGACTGGCACCCTATCATGCTCGCAGATTGTTTCGTTCACACCAGACTTCTTGCTGCCAGTGGCTCCGATGAGTTGAAAGAGCTTTCGACAGTCAATACATGCAGCTGTTTCATCCAACTCGTTGGAACTTTCCAATCACCAGGCTTCTTGTTCCTTCAACAAACTTTACCAAAATTGATTACACAACAGTCTTCGTTATTAGTCCAACTTGCAGTCATGCGCTGTAGACCGACGGACTTCAATGAGTTGTAAGTAACCTGAAGAAACCTAGTGCTAATAAGCGAGACTTTCACAAAGTCGCAAGCGACTTTACACGTGGCGACATGCAATTGCAGTTAATGTTTATATATACTTTTCGGTGGGATGTTAGGTAGACTTGAACCTAGCTCGGTTTGATATTTAGTTGAAGGAGAAGCTGCAACCAATTTACTGACATCAATACGTTTAGGATAATGAATTTGTTGGCCACTGAAACGCAAGGTAAGTTTTGCACAAACAAGGGTATTATCAGAGTCCAGATAGATACTTTAAAACGGGCGGGAGTCTTGAACAAAACTACACGAGCTTCAGTTGGTCGCGATGCGGTGAATTTGAGTTTAGGCTTGAAATGCAGAAGATGCCAGGCAGCACATCGACGACGACTGTGTTGGTAGTTAGTACTATCCAGAAACAGGATGTAGTCTGTGCAGTTGCAGTAGATAGTCACCCTTATCCGATATGCGACTAATAAGTTCCCATCAGTCACCTACACAACTCGTTTGTGACTAGATGCCCGACCTGGGTATTCAAGTGTCCGGATAGTACTAAAATATAGGTCAAAATCATTTTCTGTAGAAGAACGATTGTCACCATAAGATTGTGAATAAGATTCATATGGGAAAGTGTTAAAGTAAGAGAATTTTTCCAGACGTAGTTATCATTGATTTGTGTGGGGGATGGGATACTGCCCGGGTGTTCAGACCGAAACAGGTGGTTTTCTTAGGGGGCCACACCCGGAACCTTTGATCTAAAGGTCTGATCCACAACGCAGTTAAGCAACGTCAGGAGATGCAATCCCATGGTAGCCAGTGACGAATGATTTATTCATACGCCATTTGTTCAATAAAAATCCTGGAGCTCATGTGCAAAGTTGGTTTGGAATCAGGGTTTCCCAACTCCCCTGGGTCGACCCACCGTGTCCACTAACCTTGTTATATCACCGGATATTCGTTTCTCGTCCTCTCAATTTCGTAAACAACCAGGCCGCCGGGATAAGGTCGTCAGCAGAACTTCCCTGGCAATGGCTGTATACAAGTCGCTGGGTGAGAGCATTTCGATAGAGAGAGCGGACTCTCTCCACCATCATTTAAGTAGACCCAATTTCGCTGTGACGAATTTGACTAAGGAATGATGAGAGTTGCTTCTTGACACAGAGATCAACTGTTAGTGTTTATTCCCCGAACAAATCTATAGACAAATATTATTACAGTAGATGAGGTGTAAATTAGACACGATTCATACTGAAGTTTAGCATAGAAAGTCTGAACAAATAGAGAGTTGAAAAACCAAAACGAATCTAATCGAATTCATAAATCATCAAATTGTTGTTTCATTTAAAATTGAAATTAAACGGTAATCAATTAAATTTGGAGATATAGCATTTCGTAGCTTATGCAGAATAATTAGCGAAAGAAATAACAAGAATAAATTCCAACTCTTCTCATCCACCAAGTTTGTTCACTTGATGAAGATAGTTTCAACCTTAATTAGCGTATCTGTTTTCAAAACCTACATAAGTGATCAAGTAAACAGACAGCTATGTAGATAGATTACATAGCCAATGGCTCGCCGGAAAAAAAGCCTAATCAAAAAGTCTGGAAAATATTACCTGTCTGTAACTGAAAAGTAAATTAATTTCAGGTATAAAGCTGAATAATATTTACTGTGATATATTTTGTTTAAACTAAATGCATAGCATTTCTCGACATGTCTACACTAATTGTGTAAAAGACAATTGTTTTCCCATTAAGTACATAAGAAATGATCAATATACAATGAATTTATTCATGAATAATGCCCCAAATTTAAAGTGATTTGGTAGACTATCATCAATGGATACGAATATATAGGTGTGGTTGTAGTAGTAGTAACACTAATAAAAACAGAAAGTAACATAAACACCATAGGTGAGAAACTATTCGAAACAATACAACGATGAGCATACCTTTGTAGCATAGTAAAATGCTTGATGAGGCAATTTTGGAAATAGTAGCATAGATGTATGAACCATACACATACGAAAATTCAGATTATTTGATGACTAAAAAATAAAAAAACATGAATTTTCATAAGCTATACTTACAAGTATACACCTGTCTAATTAGAGAACAAATGTGAAAGATTACAATTTATTACTGAGAATGCCTGAGACAACTTGAATTCTTTTTTTTTGAAAAACACGCAAATTATTTTTACAACCACATATACAACAAAGTTGAGATTGGTGGAAATATTTACAACCCTACCTATTAAGATGTTTGTTTTGTGATGCCGTTTCGTGCAAGTAATAAAGTATATTTCTTACGATTAAAAATATTTAATGTCGGTTTATTCGAGAATCTTTCACTATATCTAAGGACTGAAACAAAATAAACTTACTGGATCACTATAATATTTCACAACTAAATTGATTAAATAATTAGCTTTTGAATTAGGCTGACTTGTTTGAAATAGGGTTTGAATAAATTCTATTCGTGATAGGTACGGTTTACTTCGGCATACACCAAGCATGCTTTCAAGACGTATTTGAAACCATTCCGCCTGTTTATCTTCATCCGTTATCAAATCACAATTATGTTCAAGTGCACTATAAAATAAATTATATTGCAGAAGTAAATATTTCAAGAGCTAAATGTTAAATTAAGTATTAACAACATTTACATACAAACCGTCTATTCAGGCTTAGCCACCAGATGGTATCATAGCTAACACATCTACAACTAAAGGTTGAAAAAGCGACCACCACATACTCAAGTTAATGACAAATGCTCAAAGCTGTAAATATCTTGTGATGAACAAGTCCATTTAATATAGCATTACATTTTTGTTACCTTTTATTTCTGCGAGCTTTATACTCATTCTTATTTTGATTTGAATATGTGTTCATTAACGACTTGTTATGATCGAAAGTTTTATCCACATTAGATAGTCTTATCTTCAAAAATAATTGTTTTTTGAAAACTGGCCCTCAGTACTAAATGTCATGGTACTTTAAGAATGTTTGTTACCTGGTATATTTGATTATTGTGCTTTGATGGAGTACGAAGAACAGTCAGATTTAGTTAAGAATGTATGTTTAAGACTCGCATTAATTACTACGAATTCATTCGCCATCTATCAACTATAAGATTACGTTGCAATTCCCTACAGCCATTTATGTGTTGCTAGGCTAGAAGATTGAATTCAAGCAAGTAAAAATTAGCAAGGGAATCGTCAGGTTCCTGTTATAATTGTCTACATTAAAATGACTTAAGTATAAATACATACATATTGATGATTCATACTAGTAACTGAATAATCCCATAACACAGACCGTTCGACTAGTATTGTATCCGTAGTTAGAGGTTGGGATAACCAGACCGGAGATTTAGGAACCGAGATGTAGTTTGGATTATTAACATAAACATCTTAATCACTAATAAAATGACGATGACTCATTAGAAGATGTGTGCAGATCACATATTTCTGGTCACTATCATGATTCAGGGCAGTCATCGTAAATTCACTACCTAGTGAACTAGTTCCGTAACTGTAATCAACTGACATGCGAAAATGTGAGTAACACCTGACGCAACTACAATACCGCCTTAGATTTTGATTATACTCCAGTATGTCAGTTATTCTGTAGTTTGGTCGTCAGCGAATTCGTCATCGTGAACGGAATAATATAAGTAAAGAATTCGCATAGTTTTCTTGCATACCAGAAAAAATTGTAATTGATTATGTAGACAAAAGAGAAAAATTCATAATACACACTCACAACATCATTTGGAGTAAGGAGTTCAAATAGACTACTGCTTCATATCCTGGTATTTTATACTTGAATGCTATTCTGATTTGACAGAAGTCATCGTAAGATAAATCGCAGATTGGGACATTCAAATGTCTGGGTATAGTTTTAAAAAAAGGTAAGAAACTAATAAGTATTCTACATAGAAAACTCTATCACATAAACTACATAAATGTCTACAAAAAAGAATGTAATTATTGTCAATACTAATGCATGGCGAAACGGATTATTTAACGAAATGACTTATTCTGATTGAATTTAGTCTTTTTATAATACAAACGGACTTGAGTGTATTCAGTCGTTTTTTGAAAACGATTCTCTAAAACCGTCGATGCCAGTCCCAAATCTCAATAACGAAATCTATATTCTCCAATTAAATAGTATAGTCATATTCCCATTTATTTCTCAGCACACACTTCTTCCCAACTTATAACTCCAGGTCCCATAACCTGTGTTAATGACATTTTTATCTTTTCGTTAACAAACTTTAGATCAAAAAAAAAATAAAAACTGCTGTGAACCGTTCAATATAACAAAAATTACTTTTATCAACAATAAGAAAAACAACAATTTTTGTAGTTGAACAGCATTCGTTCTTTACTCACAAGGAAGTATATGGAAATAATCTATGCACCCTTTCTTCGTATTTTTCGGTGAACATGTTTTTTGGCTTTTTTTGAAGAACCTGAGTCGCTTTAGTGCTCTTACGGACAGTTGTTAAATTGAAATGTATTAATATATTTGTATTCTACTGTTACAGGTTTTATAACTCGTTAAAAGAATCAAGAATAAATATGTTCAAGAGATTCCTGATTTTAAGAATATAAATAAACAGAAAGTGAACTGACTCTGCCATGATCCGACGGATATTATTAGCATATAATTGAGCGTCCAGTTGTTCATCTTCGTTTGGTTGATATACTGGTAAAAACTTTGAAATATAAAAAAAATTGAAAGATATGTAACAACACTCTGATGTGTGGGCGAGAATGATCATGATTGGTTGTCTGCCTAATCAGATATGTAGACAATCTGACAGGTGTCAGATAAGTTATATATTCCCTTATCCTTATTATTGTGACATACACTAATTATTGATTCTTCATTGTTGTGGATTGTGTCCGTTTTCGGTGTGGAAATATATTCACGTTGTGATCAGGCTAATTACGCGTTCTTGATATGAGTCGTGTTGAAGTCCTGTAGAATAGACACTGGGAGGGATCTAGTGTAGACGAATATAAATACCGAGCGTTATAACACACTGAAAATTATTGCTTAGAATAAAACTTTATTTATTTGACAAAATGACCAATTACTGGCTTTAATAGTGAAATTCTTTTCATCATAATCCGTCAGAATTCAACTCGATATTGATTCAATAAAATGTGCTTGGTATTAATTAAAATCGTTTTCACCTTATATCTACGCAGTTGTTGAAGTAAATTATTTTGACTGAAGCACATAACATGATTGGTAATATTTCAACAACAAAAAGGAAAACTTTACCCACCTAAACACACATTTTGTCTATCAGTATGATTTTTGTGTTCATTAAAGCATAACTAACTGAATCGAATATGCCCACAAATTTTAGTAGGTTATGATGTTGTCGACATAGAATTTTCCTGTAATCTAGTCAATTTAATTTCATATTCTTGTGACAAGTGTGTAAATTAATACGATCAAACTAAGGCACGGTTATCTTAACAACTTTGCGACAATACACCCAAAAGCTGAGAGATAAGCTACAAAAACTGGATATAAAACAGAACGAACACAATTCATCCTTGACTCATCAATTATACTTCCTTTACATGTGCAGCACAAATGAAGGGATAAAGTGTGAAGAAATATGGAGAGACTGCATGGCCAAAAAAATTAATCAACAGAAATAACATTTAATAAAATGTACAGTATAGTCGGAAATATACTTAGGAGACATTTTTTAAGTTGTTACGAAAAATGTAAAATGACATTACAGTACGATCGTTACTGATTTATATTCAGGACCATATCAGACATAATAATAAACAATGTAGAAAATCTCTTTCAATTATTACTGAATTAACTATTTTTTATTACCACTCAATTTTTTTCTGTACAAAACACAGATAACTTACTTCGATTTCCAATCTATTGTTGAACTGTGACAGCAACAACCATAGTAATTTAAACCTTAAAACATATTGATGAGAGGGCGAAAAAAAATCGGTATAATAAATTACGTGATACAAGCAGTCAGTACTTAGGTATACATAACAAGGTTGGACTTGGTTTCAAATAAATTGAGCATTGGGTAGAGTTACCAATAAATGTATTTTTGTTATATCCCAGTGAGTTGAAAAATAGTATTTCTGACGTTTCGTGACTTAATGAAAGACACTTCGTCAGAGTTCGAAACTTGTGTTTATTTAATGTCGGTTGTTTATTTACTCTTAAGAAGTGGCTCAAATTAAGTCACGAAACTTCAGAAATACAATTTTTCTACTCATTAGGATATGACAAAAAATATATTTATTATTAAGCAGTCAGTTCATTGGTAAAAATGAGTATAAAATAACGAAATCCTCCATCTTGAAAACCAGATTTTTATCAAAGAAATAGAATTATTTTCCTTCAAACCAGGTAAAAGTTTTCATATATCATGTTACCAAATGATTAACAGAAAGTTGGGAGTACATTTTGTTGAGTCGGCTTTCGAGAACTACAACGAGCCTCCAGAGGCCCTAAAGGAGCTGAAGAGTTCCAGTTAATTAGAGCATGAGTGAGCTTCCAGAATATTAACGTAGTGTGGCTATTACTTACGCCTGTTACTACCAATGGAGCATAGGCCGCCGACAAGCATTCTCCAACCCACTCTGTCCTGGGCCTTCTTTTCTAGTTCCAACCAGTTCTTGTTCCTTTTTCTCAAACGTGGTGTGCTACTATTGGTCAATAGCATAATAAGTCTTTTAGCGGATTGGCCAAAAAATAATGTTGATTTGACAAATGCTAATAATCTATAAATACCCATGTTTTTCTGTACAAAAATGAACCTTGGGAGTAAAGTGCTTTTCGCTTATTTTGCGCCTTTTCTCTCGTGTTCAGGTCAGTGCGTAGTTCTAGCTTGCGGGTTACCTGAATAGCTTAGGAACCGAATAAAGCGTTCAAATTAACAAGAATTATCACATTTATTTCAAGGATCTTGTTCACACTCTTAATATTAGGTTATAAAATGCTGAATAATTCTGGGCGGTTAATATTAATAAACTTAGTGCACTTGAATAGGTTGCTCAGTTGATTAGATAGAGATATCAGATTCGAAATTATATGCCTATAAGTAATAACCAATTCGCAAAGTATTATGAAAATCGCAGTTTTATGCTGAAATATATAGCTATTCACAAATTTTTGTAATGAATAACCCAATTCAGCCGGCTTATCACCGATTATTATCCACATCGTGCATCAATTAGATTACTGTTCCGAAATAATTCGTTTGAAACATGAGTAAATGTAAATTGTATGTAGTGTTCTGGTGGTTTGATGCACATATATAACGAAGAGCGGGGTCAGCTTAAGTGTAAGCTGTCGAGAAGCCTATGCAATGATCGTGAACAGTGGTGGATAGCGAAAGCAAGAGAGATGGAAAAGGCAACGGCAATAGGTAACAGAATGCAACTATTCAGACTTGTTAAGGAAACCGATATTAGGAACCCAACTGTTAGCGAAACAATCTCAGAAAAAGATGAACAAATTATTCATTCTCAATCCAGGAAATTGGATCGATGGGCAGAACACTTGAGAGATCAGTTTAACTGGCCTTCAACCACACATCAATTTCCCACGATCTCCAGTCGACATGAACGGCAAGTTGATGTAGGTCCTCCGACTCTTTACAAAGTTGAAAAAGCTTTAGAAAATCTGAAGCGTGGGAGAGCAGCAGGCCCTGACAGGTTTACTCCTGATATTTTTAAGGATGGCGGTCCAGTATTAGCAGTGAGATTAACTGAGGTCTTAGGTAGAATCTGGGAACTGGACGTAATCTCATCTGACTGGTCTCAATCACTGATCGTGCCAGTTTATAAGAAAGGACAAAAGTCCTCCTGTGACAATCACAGAGGAATTAGTTTGACTAATATAGTGTCTAAAATATTAGCTTCAGTAATACTTCGACGCCTAACCAAAGCTCGTGAAGAGCAGACTAGAGAAAACCAGGCTGGTTTTCGACCTGGACGTGGTTGTATAGATCAGATATTCACACTACGTCAGGTCCTAGAACATAGACACACATTCAGACGCCCCATAATGGTAGTATTTCTCGACCTTAAGGCGGCATTTGACTCGGTTGATCGTGAGGTTCTATGTCAGTGTTTGTCACTGAAAGGAGTACCAAAGAAGTACATTAACCTTATAAAGACTCTCTACTCGAACACAACTGGTAGAGTGAGAGCTTATGGCGAACTGTCATCAGAATTGATTACCTCAAGTGGTGTTCGTCAGGGATGTCCACTCTCTCCATTCTTGTTTAACTTTGTTGTTGACGTCCTTTTAGAGATGACACTTTCCAGAGGTTGAACTTCTACCGAGAGATTCACTTTTTGACTTAGAATATTCCGATGACATAGTTCTATTTGGTGAAGACGCTGACAAAATGCAGAGTCTGCTGACCACTATAAGCAACAATGCAGGCATGTTCGGCATGCGATTCTATCCCTCGAAATGCGTCGACACCTGAACTAATGATAGGGAATGAAGTAGTTGAGCGTGTCGACCGCTTCACTTATCTCGGAAGTCTCATCAGCCCTTGTGGTCTGGTGTGTGACGAAATCTCAGCACGGATACAGAAGGCTCGACTAGCTTTTGCCAACTAGTGTCATTTGTGGCGTAGGCGAGATATCCGTCTATCAACCAAAGGACGTGTTTACTGTGCAGCAGTTCATTCCATCCTACTCTATGGCAGTGAAACATGGCCAGTAAGAGTAGAGGATATTCGTAGGTTACTAGTATTCGACCATAGATATCTTCGAAACATTGCTCGTATATCCTGGGACCACCGAGTAAGTAATGCAGTTGTTAGGAAATGGGTACTAGGTAAGGATGGCAAATCAATTGATGAAGTAGTGAAACTTAATCAGTTGAGATGTCTGGGACACGTGTTGTGTATGCCCGACCACTGGCTGCCCCGACGTGCTATGTTTTATGGTGTTGGAGTAGGTTGGAAGAAAGCTAGGAGTGGTCAGACCAAAACATGGCACAAATCCATGAAGTCACTGACAAGTGTACTGAGCCATGTTGGTAGATATAGACTACCTGGTTGGGGACCGCGAGATAATAGCAACCGATGGTTAGAGACCTTGAGTGACATGGCTCAAAATCGTTTGCAATGGCGCAGGTGCATCCACTCTTTGTGTTCTCTCAAACTCTAATCTTCTGAATTCTTCATGTCCTTTATTTTCTTTCCCAATTTATTCCACTGGACTATACTCCTTGAATAACATCATCAAACCCTAATGTTCCCTATTACTACTTATACTTTCAGTACCTCTACCGCTACGGGATTTGAATCGATAACTGAACCTCTGTGCTAATGTGGTATGGCAACTCGAACTGATGTACGTACGTACGAAGTTCCACGTTGTTATGGACTGACTGACTGTATGCACATATATGATGTCTTTAGTAAATGTCATAAAACCGCACATGTTACAATCTTGATCCCTAAATATACAATAAGGATAATATATTATTCATTATTATTCGGGTCCACATAAATAAAAACTTGTCTTGCGACGCCAATATAAATAAAACTATAATTACTGATGTAATTTGCAAAAAACAAAAATAACGCCACAGTCGCTAGAGTTCAACAAACGAAAACTCCCATCAATTTTCCAGGTACAGCTACACACCATATATATTTACATACATGAGCTTGGAACAGTCAGTCATCTACAAGGTAGGACCAAGCACATATATTCTTCCATCCATCTCCAACACTAATCAGCATTGTGCACCGTGGTATTCGGTGATTGGGCATGCGTAATACGTGGCCTAACCATCTCAGTCGATGAAGATTCACAACCTCATCAACTGATTTACCATCATTCCCTAATACCCTGCGTCTAACCTTGCTGTTAATTACCCAGTGATCCCAGCAATATTTCTAAGGAATCTGTAGTCAAATACTTGTAGCTTACGAGTATCTTCAACTCTTAACGGCCATGTTTCGCAGCCGTAAAGTAAAATAGAACGAACTGCCGCACAGTATACTTGTTCTTTAATTGATAGATGGATATCTCGCATTCGCCATAGGTGACGTAAGTTGGCAAAAACCAAACAAGCTTTTCGAATCCGTGCAAAGATTTCGTCAGACACCAACCCATTAGGGCTAATCAGACTTCCAAGATAAGTGGAGACGTCAACACGTTCGACTACTTCACTCCTTATCCTTAGTTCAGGTGTTGATGCAGGCCAGTCTAAAGCAACAATTTGCATTTACAGGGGGGGGGATGGTTCAAAATTGGAACAAATTTTAGATTTAGTATGTAAGCGGAAAAAATCCGCTAAACAAATTTCGTCAGGAGTTAAAATTAGTTCTAGCGTGTTATCTTAGTTTGAAGCTAAATAAAAGTAAAATTATAGTGAACAGATTGTGTAGACAGTGTTAGGAAAAATATCAACCGGTTAACTAACAGTTACTTACACACCAGGACCTTCGCAGACCCAAGTCACGCTGTCCTGAAATACGAGAAAGAACAAACATTTATTTACACATTAATGATAGATGGTAAAACAACAAGTAAAGGGAGGAACATCATGCAACAATGTTTAGAGAATCATTAATGGGAATTAAATTTAAAAAGCGAAGAGTAGCTGAAAAAAGTCACACATTACACACATTTTTATGCTGCGTTTGCCACTAAGTCCGTAATTAACTTCCATGTATTTTTACTAGTTTCGGAGGGCGAATTGAACAATTTTAATACAACATTCGATTGAAACGTACTCAAAATTCTACTACTTACATGCAACGAATAACTAGAGAAGTTAAATTTTAAAGACAGTCAATCGGATTGAATATGATCTATCAAATATCAGTGTAAAGCGGTGGGCATATGAGTAAACGATCATAAAATATGCAGCCACCTAATGTCACGTCAGATTACAGTGAGGTAACAAAAGTGTATCATTAACGGGTGATATTTGGTAAAGTTATACCTCATAATGAAAACAGAACCATTTAGAAAGAAACAACTTAGGACCAGAAATGCCTGTACAAAAAAAAAGTCTAAAGCCCATAGAGTCGCGGGATATCCAGAGAAAGAGATTTTCTAGTGTCCATATACACCAAACTATATTCTCAGAGTATTTGGAACGACTTAAATTATTTATGGACGGGAAATGAATTGTTATGAATTTAGTGGGTAAAAGTATTATCTAGAGCATCACATCAAGAACCAAGTAGTATAACGTTAATATAAGTGCAAATATTTAGTGCACTTCAGGTAGCCACTCAAAAAAAAACTTTCTAGCTGGTCACGTGATATGACTGCTAGGCACTCACTTCAACGGCAAACATTGCTACAAGGCTGTGAGGGTCAAGTGCTTACCAAATGTAACACTGGACAATATCTTAGTTGACTAAATAAATGTACGTATGGTAATTTACAGATGTGAAACCATTTTTTGGTAATCTCTTTCCATAAATGCTTATGGAAATTAAAAGACATCTGTAGCTAAATTGTAAGTCAAAACATTATTATTCACAAAAAACTATATATGCTTTAATACTAAAGTAATATGAAGGGGAGAAAGATGTACCAAACACTGAGGATTTCACTTAAAAGGTTGCTGGAACTATTTCATCAGACATACTTGCCATTCACATTCTTCAGGCAGATCAGCATCTCCCTGGGAAGATTGACTCCATCAAAAGCGTTCCAAGTTCGATAAGCTGATATACGAAAAAGGGGTGGAAAAAGAAAGTAGCTCTCAAGAACACCATTCGATTTGGTGATTTTAGGGGGCCATTATATGTTATTATTACTTGATAACGAAGACCAAAACAGGAATTCAAGGTAACTGAAACAATACTAGATAATAGTTACACAATGCCTTAAAAAGATATTCCGGGTGTCTAGTGAAGTCGATTAGGAATGCCGATTTGTGGTACACGAATTAACTTTTCAAGACTGATTATTCTATAATTGGTACTTTTAAGCAGTACAACTGAGGAATCAATTATCATTTTATAGATCATTATTAAAACCTGAAACTTCAAATAAAATTTTTTAATGTACTTAACAATCGTCATCTAATTGGTGAACATAGCGTTTCCGCAAGCGTTTGAGACAATCACTAGAGATCTTTAACAGTGTTTGCAAATATGACAGTACTACAAATTAAGTTAGATCTACGAATATACGACCCACAGTGAAAGTCTGTGTGACAACTATTTTTTTATTTACATATATAAGCTCTCGACCTGAAATTTATGAAATTAAAAGACACTGGATAATTTTTTAAAATTATTACAAAGACCTTATTCTACCTGCATCCTGTTCATTTTTACTTCTCAATCAAGTCACAACCAATGACTACGAACTGCTCGAAAAAAGCAACACTTTAACTTCTGATTGTAGATTATAGAATGCTTAATTTTGTATATTTAAACATGAATAAATTTGCAAGGACTGATACTATTACGAGGTCTCATGTTAAAATCATGTTACGGAAATCACACACTGAAATTTATATGTTTTATTATTTATTTGAACACAAATATTGGTACAAGGGGGCATCAGATACATATGCACCACAAAATAAATAAAAAAATGGGAAGAGATAGAGAATGTAGGTGCGTAGAAAAAAAACAATGACCACAAATTAGTATATTTTAGAAAAATAACAATAATAATGGGAGAGACAGAAAGCTATAACTAAAAAGAATTCTTTCAGTTAAAACAGTTACGTTTACTTTTATGAAGAAAGCAAAAGAACGTTACAGCACGATCGCCACTGGCTTCTATTTTGAGCCATATCTGTTAACGTCTATAGCCACAGTGTTGCACCATCTCCAGGAGCCCAACCACTGAGTCGTGAAAAACCAACACAAGCCAGCCCTTTGCAGCTTTCTTTCATACCACGACGCCATGTCATACACTGACCACCTCTCCGCTTTTTCCAACCAGTCCCAGAGTCAGCAAATAATGCACGACGTGGAATCCTCTGGGACGACATTCGTAGAACATCTCCAAGTCACCAAAGTCGATGTTTCAAGATACCGACACCAATTGAATTATCTTCTCTGCTCCCGAACACACTATGACGAACGTCTGCATTACTAACATGGTGTTGCTTTGTCCAATTTCACTACGTAACATCCTTCGTTTGTGGCCAAACTCACGGTCACCCGCTGCAACAGAAACTGCAATCAATTTACTGACATCAGTCTGTTTAGAACGATGAATTCGTTGGCTACTGGAAAGTAAGGTAAGATTGGCGCACACCAGGGCATGATCAGAGTCCAGATAGGTACTCCAAAAGGAGAGGCAGTCTGTAAACAACTACGCCAGCGGTAGCCGAACGCGATGTGATCAATCTGAGTTCAGGCTTGGAATGCAGAGGGAGGACGCCAGATGGCACATCGGTGATGACAGTGCCGGAAGTTAGTGCTAGCCAGAAACAGGTTGTGGTCTGTGCACAGTTGAAGTAGACGGTCCCCGTTATCTGACCTGCGACCAGCAAGTCCCCATCGGCCAATTAAACGATTCTCTTCTGTGCCTATTTGCCCGATCTCAACATTCAGGTCTCCATCTAGTACTACAATATCTGTCAAATGCACGTTCTGAAAAAGAACAGTTAACTGGCGATAAAATTCATCCTTGATTGCATCCGGAATGCAATCTGTCGGAGTATAGGCTGAGATGACGAAAGGACATCGTTTCTCACGCCGATTTCTTCTCACCTTGATGGAACTTTCTCATCTAACAGCACACCACCGACTGTTAATGGGAATCCAATCGATTAGTGCTGCCTCAACCCGAGCGCTCAATGCGACATCAACGCCAGCAAGACCAGACGAAAATGCCACAGGGTGCCCAGATAAACGCACGTAAAGCAAGCTTTTTGAAGTGACAGATGGAGAGCGAATTTGTAGTACTTTACCAGAGCCTTGAATACGGGTCTCGGATAGACAACAGACGTCGATATTAAGAATTTCTTAAGACATAACCAACCCTATCTGTTGTCCGATCTACATTAGTGTGCGAACGTTGAAGGAAGCCAAATTGAATGGTGCACGTAGTTTCAGAAATACTGTTTCAGTATTCGTATTCGGTGGAAGCATCTAACTGTCGACCAGACAGCGACTAGAAATCGTTTAGATAAAACAAAGTTTCCTCCATAGGCGAGCTGCTGTATGAGTTGAAAAATAAGGATACGTGAATTGAGAGTTACGATTTTCGTCCTCTTGGTTTGGTGAACAACACCCCCGCCACGAGAAGGAAGTGAGTAGGACTTCCGTAGTAGGGGCTATATACGCGTGACTATGTATGAAATTGAAAGGATGAAAAGCGAATGTCCAGCGCTTTAACCGGGTTGGTGGATACGGAGGATCCACCTGGGGTAGTTGAAAAACCCTGAATCCAAACAAATGGTGCTCATCGGCTCCAGTATTCTCAAAGAACAAATGGTGTATGAACTAGTTGTTGGCCACCGAATACTATGGGACTGCAGTTCCTACGTTGCTCCGCTGCCTAGTGGATTAGATGTTTAGGTCAAAGGCTCGAAACGTGGCCACATAAGTAAACCACCTGCTTCGGTTTGGGCCCCCGGGCAGTACAACAGCCCTCACACAAACCGAATGACTTATGTGGTGCCTCCTAGTAATAATGTTTGACTGACTAATATCAATATGATCTATATGTTAGCTCTAGACTTGGCATATGTATAATTGGCGCCCCCTTGTACCAATATTTGTGTTCAAATAAAAAAAAAATCGACTTGCAATTAACAAACAGAAAGCAATAATTTCACTCCGCTTAAGCATCCTACCCCTTTAGAGGCACAGGCCGTCGACCAGGAATCTCCAACCAACTCTGTTGTGGGCTCTCCTTCCCACTTGTTGAAGTGATACTAGTTTTTCTAATGTGTTGTCAAAACACAGCGCCATGTGTTTCGGTTTACCTCGTTTTTTTTTGCCTTGGGAATCCTTCGTTAAAACTTGCTTTGTGATGCAAATTAATTATTATTGCAGTGTGCTATTCACCTTCAGAATCTTATCCTAATTTTCTCAGCTGAAAGCTGGTTTGCTTCCTGCCACAGCAGGTTATTACTGATAGTCTCTGGTCAATTGATCAGGAATGATTTGTGTGATTAATTGTGTCATTTAATGGTTAATGTAAGAACCGTCAAACGCCCAACACATAATTGCATAAACCCATCTTTGAAACTTATAGCAATAATTATTCCTGCCAGAGTTTAAACTATGGTAAGTGAGCATATAGATAAATCCAATCTCCTATTTGGTCGCTTAATTTAATGACGTAAGAGTAATCACACGGATAACACCCGAGGTGTCTTGTTGACCAGTCAGAGAAATGAAACTGACAGATGATTAAAAAATTGAGTGGGACCAGCAATGAGTGGATGCGCCTGCGCCATTGCAAACGATTTTGAGCCATGTCACTCAAGGTCTCTAACCATCGGTTGCTATTATCTCGCGGTCCCCAACCAGGTAGTCTATATCTACCAACATGGCTCAGTACACTTGTCAGTGACTTCATGGATTTGTGCCATGTTTTGGTCTGACCACTCCTAGCTTTCTTCCAACCTACTCCAACACCATAAAACATAGCACGTCGGGGCAGCCAGTGGTCGGGCATACACAACACGTGTCCCAGACATCTCAACTGATTAAGTTTCACTACTTCATCAATTGATTTGCCATCCTTACCTAGTACCCATTTCCTAACAACTGCATTACTTACTCGGTGGTCCCAGGATATACGAGCAATGTTTCGAAGATATCTATGGTCGAATACTAGTAACCTACGAATATCCTCTACTCTTACTGGCCATGTTTCACTGCCATAGAGTAGGATGGAATGAACTGCTGCACAGTAAACACGTCCTTTGGTTGATAGACGGATATCTCGCCTACGCCACAAATGACACTAGTTGGCAAAAGCTAGTCGAGCCTTCTGTATCCGTGCTGAGATTTCGTCACACACCAGACCACAAGGGCTGATGAGACTTCCGAGATAAGTGAAGCGGTCGACACGCTCAACTACTTCATTCCCTATCATTAGTTCAGGTGTCGACGCATTTCGAGGGATAGAATCGCATGCCGAACATGCCTGCATTGTTGCTTATAGTGGTCAGCAGACTCTGCATTTTGTCAGCGTCTTCACCAAATAGAACTATGTCATCGGAATATTCTAAGTCAAAAAGTGAATCTCCCGGTAGAAGTTCAACCTCTGGAAAGTGTCATCTCTAAAAGGACGTCAACAACAAAGTTAAACAAGAATGGAGAGAGTGGACATCCCTGACGAACACCACTTGAGGTAATCAATTCTGATGACAGTTCGCCATAAGCTCTCACTCTACCAGTTGTGTTCGAGTAGAGAGTCTTTATAAGGTTAATGTACTTCTTTGGTACTCCTTTCAGTGACAAACACTGACATAGAACCTCACGATCAACCGAGTCAAATGCCGCCTTAAGGTCGAGAAATACTACCATTATGGGGCGTCTGAATGTGTGTCTATGTTCTAGGACCTGACGTAGTGTGAATATCTGATCTATACAACCACGTCCAGGTCGAAAACCAGCCTGGTTTTCTCTAGTCTGCTCTTCACGAGCTTTGGTTAGGCGTCGAAGTATTACTGAAGCTAATATTTTAGACACTATATTAGTCAAACTAATTCCTCTGTGATTGTCACAGGAGGACTTTTGTCCTTTCTTATAAACTGGCACGATCAGTGATTGAGACCAGTCAGATGAGATTACGTCCAGTTCCCAGATTCTACCTAAGACCTCAGTTAATCTCACTGCTAATACTGGACCGCCATCCTTAAAAATATCAGGAGTAAACCTGTCAGGGCCTGCTGCTCTCCCACGCTTCAGATTTTCTAAAGCTTTTTCAACTTTGTAAAGAGTCGGAGGACCTACATCAACTTGCCGTTCATGTCGACTGGAGATCGTGGGAAATTGATGTGTGGTTGAAGGCCAGTTAAACTGATCTCTCAAGTGTTCTGCCCATCGATCCAATTTCCTGGATTGAGAATGAATAATTTGTTCATCTTTTTCTGAGATTGTTTCGCTAACAGTTGGGTTCCTAATATCGGTTTCCTTAACAAGTCTGAATAGTTGCATTCTGTTACCTATTGCCGTTGCCTTTTCCATCTCTCTTGCTTTCGCTATCCACCACTGTTCACGATCATTGCATAGGCTTCTCGACAGCTTACGCTTAAGTTGACTTCGCTCTTTTTGTTATCTTAAGAGCATCTATCAGTGCGGTAGACGCTGCTGACATCCAGTCTTTATCCCTAACCTTATGGTTTGCCGTACTTGCAGACATCACTGCAGTTTCTACACCTTTTCGAATGGCATTCCACGCTGCCTCGGGGTGAGCATCACTTACATGGCTGCCTAACTGTTTATCTAGTTGTTCCTGAAATATACTCTTAGCTTGACTATCATTAAGTAGGACCCTAAGGGGTTTCCTTGTACCATCTTTCCTACGTCCAGTAAGACGTAGACAAATACGCGCTCGCACTAGAGCATGATCTGAGTCTAAGCATGTGCTCCAGAATGAGCGGCAGTCTTCTATTGAGCCCCTCCATCGGTGGCTGATAGCGATGTGACCTATTTGGGTCCAGCGTTGGGACGAATTAAGGGGTCGCCATGTTAAAAGATGTTTTTCCTTATGCTTATAGTTAGTGTTTGCAAGAAACAGGCGGTTATCTGAGCATAGCTGCAACAGAAGGTCGCCATTATCTGTTCTTTGAGCCGCGACACCATAAGATCCACCCAGTTGTCTTTCCCTTTCTCTTAGTTTACCTACTTGAGCAATAAAGTCACCAGCCACTATTACTACATCTGAACGCCTAGCTTTTCGGAGAAGGTCGGAAAGCTTTCTGTAAAACTCATCTTTTACATCATCTGAGCTGTAGTCAGTGGGAGAGTACGCAGAGACGACGACGAGTGTCCCTATCTTTCCGAGTCCTTACTGTTTCGTTTAGTCGGACAGCACATAAACGACCGTCTACTGGGATCCAGTCTAAGAGAGCTAGTTCTGACCTAGGACTCAATGCTATACCTACGCCAGCGAGGCCACGGGAAGCAGCATCAGGGCTTCTAGATACACGAAGTGTAAATCCAGTTGGTTCATTACTTTGACATGGTGCGGTCAAATCAAATGACACTACTAAGATCCTGTGTGCGCGTTTCGGAGACGCAGCACACATCGATGGAGCGAGATTCTAAAGTCCTAGCTAAGGAAGCCTGTTGTCCTATTTGGCACAGTGTTCGGACGTTGAGAGCTCCTACGCGTAATTTGGAGCGTGGTTTCAGGAGACCAGGAATAACGTTCCGTGTACTCGAATCGTTTGCACTAGAGGGGCCAGGTGATAAAGGGACGTGAGAAGGGTTGGTCGTGGAGATAAGAGAGTTATTAAGAGGTGTAGGAAGGATTTGAATGTGACCAACTTGACCTCGTGTGCTGTTACGGGTATGAGGACTGGTGTCACTTCCCGGCTGCCCACACCGTGGAAGGGTATTTCTTGAGGAACCTGAAAGGGAAATCGGATTAGTGTTGGTCTTAGCCACCTGGATGCGTGACCGCAGAGCCCAAGGGACAACTGCTTGAGGTCGATTGCGCATGGCCTTTATGTGGGAGGCTTTTAATATGTTAGCTCCGTTGTTCAGATGGCCTTACCGCCGGAGACGGAAATCCGTGAGGTAAGGTGAGGAGTGACATTTTTAGGGTCGACCTTTTCTAACCCCTCCCTACCTTGTGAGAAGGCAGCATCACTGCAGATCTTGGTTGTCCGAGGGAAACACCTTACTGCTGTCACACCTCTGTACAGTCAGCAGTACGACTTCGCCCTCAGACTTTGAGTTGCTGCTTTTAATCTTACCGTTCTCCAATCGACCTGCCTGGCATGGTAGAACCCGCAGGAATATGTGTTCCAGCCAATATAGCTCGGTTGGGTCATCACGATAGGCCTTAAGAGTAATGTTTAGTTTGAGATTAAAAACCAGATTAACATTAACCAGTTTAACATAAAGTTCTCATGAAACAAACATAGAACCATATGTTGGAAACTTTTTTGGATAACGTATTGGATAAAAACCAGACTAACTGAGATTCAAGAGCTTGAAGGTTTGTAAGGCTACATCGATAAAATAGAATAAAATAATGAGGGAACACAATTGACAAGTTCTACGTAGTAGGTTTCAGCTGCAGTTTTGTCATCAGGAACACGAAATTTCAAGTATTTAACACTCGATTGAAAAGCTCATTTAAACGTTTTCATTGAGAGACAGGAACGGTTTGTATATCGGTAATATAAAACATATGATAGGAAAATACATGAATGTCAGCCCAATACATTCTTGAAAATGAAATACTCATGTTGATTGGACTCTTGTTATTTTGTATATGTAACAAAAATCCATGAGGAGATAAAGCGTATTCAGAATAATTTTTCAACATTAGGGGTTTCAAGAATCTACGAGCGAACCCAAGCTACCAAGTTGGATATTAGAGAAAAACTAATACTAAGACAATATTATTAAAAAGTTTAACATCTTGATATACATACAATGAGTGTCATAACTTCACTTACCACTTTATTTGGCCAGCGAACGATTACTGGTTGAACCGGTACACCTGCATTGAAAGCCCCTAGAAATAAAATTTCAAACAAACCAGCTGTTAAATTCATAAGATCACTAATTTATTTTTGTGTGAAATTCCTAAACAGCATGCACATTTGATTACGCTTGATAGAATTATCTCAACATGCATTATGATCACGCAATACATTTAGGCAGTCAATAGCCTACTTGAAAGTGTCATGATTAATGTTAACATTAAGGCTTTCCGTCTTTCACAAGTCGATTTTCCATTGAACTAGCGTAGTTGTTACAAACCCAGCAAGTAATTATCAAACAAAATTAGTCTCGGTTCAAACAAGTACTAGTTTTAGCAAAACAACTATCGAGTAGCAGAAGGTTTAAGGGAAATTTCATAAACTTTGTCTTGGATACCAAAATAATATATGTCTAACCCATAAAAAGTAAAGATGTGATGTGGAACAATGTAAGAAATTTGCACAACTAATTGGTTTCATGGTACTAAAACTCAATATTAATATAAATTTAGGCTATACTAAATTCACTTTATTTTTTTTCTATGAACTCATTCTTTTTTCCTGTACTATGTCGTTACATACAATATTTCTTTTATCTATTACCACCATTGAATTAAATACTATGAATTCGGTGTTCATCATGTTATGCTAATGAGGTATGGCGCCCCCAAATGCCCTGGTATGGCCGAGAGTGAGGAGAGTCCGCTCCCCTCTCAAAATGCTCTCACATGGCCACGCTTATATAGCCTCTGCCAGGGAAGTCCTACTCACTGCCTTCTCGTGGCGGGGGTGTTGTTTACGAAAATGAGAGGACGAAAAGCGAATGTCCGGCGCTTTAACCGGATCCCAAACCAATCGTGCACATGGGCTCCAGTATCCTGAAGGAACGAATGGCGTATGAACCAATCGCTGGTCACCGGCTACCATGGGACTGCATCTCCTTACGATGCTTCACTGCCTTGTGGGTCAGACATTCAGGTCGAGGGCTCGGGGTGTGGCCCCCTAAGAAAACCACCTGCTTCGATTTCGGCACCCGGGCAGTATCACAGCCCTCACACTTATCAAATGAGATCTGTGTGGCGCATATGTATTTGGTACCTCCTTGTACCAATATCTATGCGTTGAAATAAAAATAAAATTAACCGACTGTATTAAATATATTTAGGGAAGAATATGTCAAGTTTGTTTAAGCCATGTACAACATCCAGATGGTTATAGAAAACACGAGTTTTTATTGTCGTATCCCGACGAGAATAATGAATGGTAGCTGTCGGAATCTACTTCTGAACTATTATTATACGTATAGTTTTGTCGCATAATTGTCAAATAACTAAACTATTCATATTCGTGTTCCTCTCATCATATGCTTTATTTTGAACCCTAGACTATTATTATACGATTTACCGTTTTTGAGTTATGCCCAATCTATTAATTGCAGTATCCCACATTCACAGCTACTTTTGGCTACATCTTGTAAAATGTTGTTTCCTAGTTTATGGTACGATGCTGTCTGTTTGGTTTGCATATAAACCCAGTATGTTTGAAATACATGATTCATATCACAGAGGCTGAAATCGGTGTTCTGGACTCTACAGGCAGGGCTAGGAACGAAGAAGGACCGATAAAGACGCTTGACTGCTCGTACGGACTTTATGCGTCACTGGTCCGGTCGATAATTCACTGTTCTCTAATTGGCGGTATCATTATTGTATTCACTTTTAGGGACACAAAACCCACGAGTTATAACATTTGAGTCAATTTTAAGATACTAGTATCATATGAGTTAGGCATCTGTTGCGAAAAATGTTTTTAAAAAATGCGTCATGGCAATTGCGAGCTAATGTGTAAGCTGATAACTTGTGGCAACTTATAGCTTACATCAACGTTTAGTTCGAATGATCATTATTTAGTGAATAGTATTAGATATTATTGATTCCCTGATTGTTGAAACAAGTTTTGATCATAAAAATCCCTGAACTAACTAAAAAGACAAATACCATGTGCATATCTGTGTTTTAGTCGCAAGTTTACTGACTATACAACAATGCACTATCGCAACTCACTGAGTAAAGATTTATGTATCCGGCCTGTATGAAGGCCATAGATACTAGCCGTCTGATAAAATATATAAAATATGTAAGAAAAGTTCAGACCCGCGATAAGGTAATTAAAAGATGAATGTTTTAATAATTTAGTGATCGCTTCACATAATACAACCAAACCCTTGGATAAGGTACTTTTCAGTCATCATAGCGTTTAAAAGGTGGAAGATAGGAAGTTGAAAGGAAATATAATTGCCAATCACTTAACTATGGTTTACAGCAAAATTGATAAGCACATACTAGGATGACAGCCAGTAAATATGCTAACATATATAGTGCTTACAATAGCGTGAGCTAAGCAAACTTACAAACCTGACACGTTTGTGATTATAAAGGCAGTAATGATTACCTGGTTTGAACGTTGCAATACAGCTTCGATTAGTGCAAGTGCCTTCCGGGAAAATAACAATCTGAGGCCAATCCTCTTCTGATTTTGCACGACGAATAAGTTCCTGAATTGTTTTCTTTCTGGAATTGGGATCTTCCCGGTTAACCAGAATGGGTTGCAGCAATCTGAAAAATCCACCAACAAAGGACTCCGCTGACTCCGTCTTCCCAACAACGGATGGCAAGCCAAGAACCACAACAACAAGAGCATCAAGGAAGGATGAATGAGGTGCAATAACCATAATAGGCGCTTCTTTACGTGAAGCACGTATTCCTTGGATTTTAATCCAATGGAACCCCCCGATAAAGAAGACAAGTCGAGCACACATACGTACGATTGGAAGGATAAGCCACCTAAAAGTAAAATGTAAAGTACATCATAATACCTTCTAAAGTCGCAGATAGGTTTTACTTGAGGCTTCGAGCCGTACCCAGTTGTGAATACATTTGCAATCAGAAGTGCGGCAATAAAAAGAAAACCGGCTATCAAAGCACGAAAGGGGAGTATTGTAACAGTGAGCAAGTACATCTACATTAAAAATAATCAATCATTTCAACCAGCACCTTAAAATACTGCAACTTTGAAACCCTACATTGATAGGTGAATGGAGTAAGAATATCGCCTTCGTGTTCGGTATTATCACAGTTCAACGAGTTGTTCTCGGGTAGTGACTGGAAATCACTACAGTTACGCTTGGAAATCGAAAACATTGGTCCTAGTCTGACAGATTCAGATGAGCCAGTCAGACCAAATGACCTTACACGAGTTAAAATACTTTCTTATCACTAAAACAAATTAATTCTTCAATTAATAACAAATGAAATCACTCTTGTACAATAATCCGACTCCCAACTTTAGAGCAACAAAAATGTAAGTATCATATGACTAATTTTGTGCATAGGAAGTCCAAATGGTTTATAATTAGACTTATTCTAATCAGCGACTCGAACATCCTCCGCGAAGGCATCTTGGTGTTATATAGCAGTACAAAGTCTTGAGCATCTTTCAAATGGTTAATCCATTGATTTGTTAGTGTTCCTAGAAGGTTTGGTATACTTTTAGATTGTCAGTATAAGATTATGAAGATTGTTGGGTTTCGCTGAAATCACAAACCGGTCAAAGTTTGACAAATTTTGGAGGCCTGAAAGCACTGGACGTACGATTCGCCCTAGTATATGACTCCTCAAAACTGCGCATTCACGACAATTAAAGTAGGAATCGAATCCTATACCTTCGGTCTCACACACAAGTGCTTAACCTATAGACCACTGGTCCAGCATCCAATGTTGTACAAATCAGTCCACAATAGTGTACCACCATCTTCCACTGTATTCAGTGGGCATCCCCCTCACACTTTACACCGTGCGTCTTACCAAATTTCAAGAGGTATTCTCCCAATGCTAGTCACTAGTGATTATAAACTCAATTTGCCAGACCATGTTAACACAAGATGAATTCAGAAATACAAATAGCAAAGCAATCAAAATCATATTGAAAAAGATTGAACATGGCTCTAGAAGATAGAATAAGGAAGTAATTATGAAGGGATGTTGAAGATGTTGAGGATACGGAGAGAAATGGAAAATAAATGCATCTGAGCCTTTGTGAATGATCCTGGTTCATATCACTCCGAGTTTCCAACCAGTTGCTACAGAATCTCTTACACATCAGTACATATTGAAGAACATTGTTCAGCATGTCCACTGACTTCATGAGATGGCCTAACATCTTTGTTCTGTTACTATGTTTAGCTTTCTTCTAGTGTGATTCTACACCAGCTAACATTATTTGTCGGAGTCGGTGGTGACTAGACATATGTAACGTGTGTCAAAACCACCTCCATTAATGAACATTTACAACCTCACCGACGAACATTACACAACTGTCAAAACCTTATGTCAAACATCAGTATTACCCTATGATCAAAAACCCTCAGTTTACATAGCGCTACTATTCCCATAGACCACGTTTTAGCGCTATAGACTAGTAAAGAAGAATTTTTGCAGATCATGCCCTCTTTCGAGTTGGGAGACATCTTGCTTACACCATAAATAATGAGGGTTTTCAACAGCCTATTGGGCTTTTTAAATTCGTGCTAAGATTTCACCATACACAAAATTGTCAGAGCCTATGAAAATCACAAAATGCGTGAATCGGTCGACGTGCATAACTTGAAGAGCGTCAGTTCACTGAGAAATGTTTGCGGCTGATAGTGACGTTTTTAGTTGTCGGCGAAAACGTTCTACTAACTCGTTTGCTTGTTGGTGGTAGACCGTCGTTCGGAAGCGAGTGATTCCTAATATTGCGGTCAGACAACGGGAAAATTCGGATTCAAACTGGCGTACACGATATTTAGTGACTGTTGTTGCGCAGCCGAAGCTTGCTACTCATCGTTCGACGAGGGTGCGGGCCACTGTTTCAGCAGTAGTGTCTTTGATGGGTACTGCTTCTGGCCATAGTGTTGAAAATGCCATACAGCACAATACATAGCTAGGAGTTCCCTACCGAATGTGCTGTACCTCGATTCAGTGTCTAACAGCCGCATAGAAAAAAGTGCCAAAGATTGCCAGGAGTGGTTAACCCATTGTTGTAAGACTCCTCCGATTGCTGAGTCGGATGCGTCTACTGCGATACTAATAGGCGCTTCAGTGTCCTGGTGAGAAAGCATAGTTTCTTGAGCGATACGTTCCTTAACAGTGGAGAATGCTTTTCGCGCGGTGTCATCCACGAAGTTAAATTTACGCAATTGTTTAATGGTGATCGGTTCTGGGTAATCCAGAATGGCCGCCACTTTTGTTCTATGGGGTCGGATACCTTGTGTATCGATAGTGTCTGAATGTTTACAGTAATGCCATGTTTTTGTAGTCGGTCGAAAACAAGGTCCAGATGCTGGAGATGGGATTCTCTGTCCGGACTTGCTATTAGGCAGTCATCAACATACGCATGTACGAAATTGAGACCTCAAAAAACATCATCTATGAACCTTTGGAAAGTTTGTGCCGCGTTTCTTAGACCGAAAAGCATTCGAAAAAATTCATAGAGTCCGAAGAGCGTTATAATAGCGGTTTTCGGAATGTCGTCAGTGGCCATAGGAATTTGGTTATACGCTTTAACCAAGTCGATTTTCGAAAAGACAGTTGTACCCTTCAAGGTATCTGTCAAATCGTGAATATAAGGCAACGGGTAACGATCGGGAATGGTTTTTTGTTCAACCGCCGATCGTCACCAGTTGGACGCCAATCGTTGCTTTCCTTTTTAGGGACCATGTGCAAAGGAGATGCCCATGGGCTAATTGACAGTCTTATGATACCTAAGCCTATCATGTGGTCGTATTCGTTTTTCACCAACCTTAGCTGTTCGGGGTCAGTTGGCGTGCTTTAGAGAATACAGGTGATCCTGTAGTCGTGATGTGATGTGTAAAGTTGCTCGTTACACACAGCAATTTCGATTGTGAATGGTAAATGCCAGAATACTTATCGAGTATTGGTTGGTAGAAGGGGTCTATAGTGTGCTTAATAGTGACAGGAGATAACCTGCAACAAGAAAAAGAAGTTCAGTAAACAGATGAATTATTATTTCCATCTGCTCGCCTCCGTTTGCGCGTATCGATAATTAAGTTGTGGTGCTGTAGATGGTTCATACCAATGATTAGCATAGAAACATCCGCAACGACAAAGATCCAGTGAATGGATTTGCGTAAACCCACATTAAGATAAACGTGCCTTTTGCGATAGGCTTTCCGTTTGCCGCAAGTAGATTTGAAACCGATTGGTGAAGCCGGTCGTTGGAATTCGCTGGGAGAACGCTAACTTCTGCGCCAGGGTCGACGAGGTAGGAAACTCTCGTTATCACATCTGTGACGTATAACAGACGGCTATGTTCGCCGGCTACGGTTGCCGTTAACGCGTGCAGGCTTGGAAATTTCCCGAATCGTTTTTCGTGTCGATCGATTTTGAGTTGGGAAAATTTCAGGGTTTTCTGCAATTTCTGGAGGACTTTCCATACTGGTTATGATACCAGCACCGGTCGGGGTTATCCATTTCTCGTGGTCTAGAGACAGATCGCTTACATTAAGTGCTTCTTCGCGAGGTTTGTGACCGTTTACTGTCGTAACGAAGTTTAAGAGAACGCGTTAGTGTAATACATAGCTATGTAAAATCCTTCTGGGTCGCTTGGGGCTTTTCTTTGACTGAAAAAACCTCAGCATTAAGAGATTTAGTGATTTTGAGGATACGGTCGGCAGATGCAGCCAGCGCGTCTACGGCGTTGTTTTGGAACGAGAACTGGACAGCTTGCACCTGTTGAGGAAGTTTTGATAAGAAAAGTTGTTTGAACAGGCCATCATCGAAGGTTCTTCGGCCGATAACTTCTCTCATTCTTTGCAAAATGTCTGTGGCAGAACCGTGTTGCGGGTCGATGTTGTTAAGGAGTTGGTCTAAACTTTGTCGATCGGTTAGATCACCGCGTTTAAGGATGGCATGTTTGAGGGTTTTGTATGGATCAGAATCATCACTAGTAAACATACTAGGTGTTACGTACCCGTTGAATTCGCGCGGTGGTGCCTTGACTACTGAGAGGAATCGTGCACGTATGTCGTTCACGCCGTGCTCGTAGAAGTCGGCTTCTGCGTAGCGAAATCAGGCTTCGATTTTGTCTGGCCAGAAGGGCATTAGTTGGAACGAAGATATAGTTTTTAACTTAAATACCTTAAGTGTTCGTTGAGTCATAGTACAATATCAAGTACGAAAATGAACGAGTGGGAAATATATATATCCAAAAACACGGGGGGAAAATATCACAATGTATAAAAAATCTAATAACGAACAGACTCACAGTTTGCAACTCAGTGTACCAGATCACTTTAGGCTCACCAATGAAAATGTCACAGGTATTCGGAATTTGACAACGCTTTAATCAGTAACATCTAATATGAAGCGTACCCACCAAGTGAAATCAAAAGACAGAAGCGAGGAGGTTTGAAGATATGTTTGATAGGCTATCATTATATCGAGGATCGTCTGATCTAATCTGGCTAGCGATTGCAGTAGATGTTGAGCACGGCATTCCCACTCGTGATCTGGTGCGGATGCATGACCGAGCGCCTTCAGCTAGATGAGTCCATTAAAACTAATATGGTCAGCATCCAATGTCGAAAACTTACAGAGCTATTTATTTTGGGGATTTATTTACCGCTACAAACTCATCATCTCTCTCCATTAGTTCAGGCGTTCGTAAAAACCACATGTAAAGCTATATTTTGGATTAGGAAGTAGAAACATCCCTAACATACCTTCGCCTTTGCTCAAAGAGATTCGAATACTCTGAATTTCTCCATTGTCCTCACCAAATAGAGCTTTCATCTGAGTATTCTAAATCGATAACTGAAGAACTCGGTAGGCGACTAATCAGTGTAAGTTGATTTGGGAAAATGCTTTTTTTCGAAAGATCTCAAAGTAGAGCTTCTACTGACACTATTATTGTTCATTATTATTTGGTTATATTTGACTCCCTTTGTAAAGCAGTCATTTTTCGTTCTCGAGAAACGTATTATTTCGCACGCGCTGGTTTGGATTCTCGAGAAAAACGTCAAGAAGTATAATTTCGGTGTAAATAAAACTCTTCCGTACTGTAATTTTAGAGTTTAATCGCCTAACAACCTCGATATAACGCTGTTCGCCAGCATATTATTTAGTCTGTTGGCAGATAAATG